TGGGCTGTAGGCAGCGTTAGTGGCACACAAGGGCTGCTCATTTTAGGGCACCTAAATCCCTGGACCGAGAGGGAGAACTATCTGCAACCTAACTTACATATTAAAACTACAGAGACTGAGCTGATCACAAACAGCACCACTGTAAAGTGAAACTATCCAGACCTGTTGACACTGTGTAGGAAAAAAAAAAACCAAACCAACAACCACATACACAAAACCAGCCAGGAAAAAAGTATTCTCCAATATTATCTGTCCAGAACCTTTGAGTTATTAACATAATTTAGCAAGCATTTCAACCTGTTTACAAAATTCTAGCAGCAGCTACTGAAATTACAGAAAAAGAATATTAAAATTACTGTTTTATAAAACTCCTTAAATTATACAGCTTTTGGTTCCTTGTCATTAAAAGTTATTCTTCATCTCATTATAAAGTGTGCATTTCAGCATTTAATATCATTAGAATAACAAATGTTGTTTTTAAGAAGTTAAGAGATTAAAGGATGATACTTAAAATGTAATTCAAACTATTACATTATACATACTGCCATGAATCTGCAAACATGTTCAGTTTTATTAAGAAAAAAATTCTTGTATGCTTCCTTCATGCTATCAAATTACTCATCTCTTGGACAAATTAATCAAATTTAAAAAAAACAGCATGAAATTTCTTATCACAGAAGCAAACTGATTCTGTGCCCCACAAAACGGGGATAGCCATTTATTTCAGAGGTTTAACATTTGACCAGCTAGGCAGTCTAACACTAATGATTTGCCACCAGTCTTTAAACTAAATGACAAAGACAAGAATGCCAAGATCTCTAGAAGATATGCTCTGACATCCACAGAAACACAAAATTTTTTTTTCCTCACTAAAAAGTTACTGCAATTCCATAGAAATTGCAAAGGCAAGACAGAAAGAGCTCTTTAAGATCTTTACTACTCAGAATTAATCAAAGCAAAACAGCCATCCTAGTGGTAATCCCCTTTAGTGCTTCACAGTTTATGCAATAGTCAATTACTAAAGAGGATGAAAGACAGAACAATCTTTGCAAATAGGTCACTGTCTATATTTATAATGATTACAACCAACCTGCTGCTAAAAGTAACTTTTAATAAGCATAAAAAGTAACATTAAGACAGTGCCATGTATTTACTCTTAAATATATTATATGTCTCCTATGACAAAAGAGGAGGTAACATGCATCAGAAACAAAGTTATTTCCCACAGGTCATGCATTAGCGTTGCCAAAAGCAGATTTTAATTTCTGGCTGTAATGATTTTATTCCAAAGTATCATCCTCAAAAATAACACCTAAACATTCTTGACATGATCTCTCAACTTACCCAACTCTCTCCCTGTCTGCACACCTTCTCTCTCAAACCTGTTAGGAAAGCAAGCATTGCCCAGAGTGCTTTTTAAAGACCACTTTTAATGTCTTCTTCTTTGCTTCAGCTTTTCCTGCCTGTTTAGACATGCCTGAACATGTAAGTCCTTTGCTTTTTTTTAATCTTCAGAACAATTACTCAGGTCTCTGCTTCTACTGTATACTGCTCAGACATCCCATTTGCTTCTTTCAAGTACTGTCCATATCTGCTAAAGAATCACTCTTTCAGAACTTTCCTTCTTCCTCACATCCTTGGTCTCCTTGAGGAGTATTTCTGCCCTTTCCTTGGGATCAGGACATCACACCTGACACCATTTTCCTAAAATTTTCTTGAACTTCATTGATTCTCACAACTTTGAATGTCACCATTGTCTCAATGATTCTTACAACAGCTGTGCATTCACTCAAACCATTTCATTCAGTTCCAATTCGACCTGCAGTTACTGTCAACACCAGAGATTTAAATCTGTTTAAATTGAAGCTTGTTTCCACTCAAGCCCTACTTCCTCTAATTACCTCCTGCCTTCCTACAGTTCAAGTCCATAAGCTAACATATGGTTCTTACAATGCCTTATCCACCAGAGTGGCAACCAACAGCTGTAATTTCTTTGCATAAAATGTCAAGAATGTTCATTATCCAGTCCTGATGTATCTCTTGACCAGACCCTTTGCTACATCTTCATTAGCAAATACTCATGCTGCCACATCTCTGCTCTTCCCTTCACATATTTCATCTGCTAAAAAATCCTTCCTTTATGCACTACTTTGGAGGCTCTGGATCTTCCAGTATTTCCACAGCCAGAAAGCCTATGACTTCAGGACAGTACAGTTGCAGAACCTGCACTTCATTACTGGAAAGGAGGAGGAGGATAATCTTCAGGGAAAAATGTAACCACTTCTTAGAAAGATCTCACAAGAGAAGCATTCCTCTGTATCTCATATATTTGTACTCAAGGACAGCGAAAACACAATGAAGGTCAGACTAAAGCTGAATACAATCACCTCAACACCACCAAAAACTTACTTACATGAAGGTATTAAGGTAATTCTAGTTTCTAATCTTACAAATTTAAGAGAAAACACCTGTAGCTTAGAGTTTATTATAATGCAGACTGCATAAAACTGAACTCCACAGCAGGCTAGGGAGGGAGAAGCAGTCAGTCTTGTGAAGTGAAATCCTGTTTGTGCGTGAAAGCCAGGAACTTGATGTTCTCACTACAGACTAAGAGCAATAAAAACAGCTTTCTGAGCCATTAATTTCTGCACAGCTGATTTCTACTAAACAATGCTCATTATTGAAAGAATTCTAAAAAAACTGCCAAGCTGTTCCAGTGAGAAGGCTGGCACTCTGAACATCTAGACTGAGCTAACGGTGACATCAGTTCTACCACTGCTTTAATCCCCACGGCTACTAAATGTCAAACATTTTCATTGTATTTAAAGAGCTGGTGATTACACAGGATGAGATTAAGTTACAAAATAAGGCAAACTGCAAGGCACAGCGAGCACCCGTACTCTTGCTGCCCAGGATTCTGATAATGGCAAGTTTTTCAGTAACATCAGTCAAACTGCCAAGCATTTTCCACAGCCAAAATGTGGCATTTTTAGCATTTGTTTTTCTTAAACACTGTGAAAACTCCTCCCCTTCAGACCTCCCATAACAGGGTCTACAATACATGCATTTCTGCCCCACTCAAATACAAATTCATAAATCATTTGCAGCATTGAATAATGTATAGTGGGGAGGGGGGAAGACGAGAGAACGGCGAAAAGATTAAGTGTCACTGCATCAAGAGGCACAAAGTCCAGTGGAAACTGAGCTGCAGGCCATATATTTATTATTGACAAAAGACACCCATGTAATATTAATTCCATCTGCTTTAGAGAAGGAAATGCATCAAATTATAGTCAACACAGAAGGAGGAACTGTCCTACCATGTAATATAAATTTTAATGTGGTAAACTATTTAAAGTAGAATATACTTTCTAAACATTTCTTGGTATTTTCATAATTTGTTTGGCAATTGATTAACATGGCAGCAACATGCCAACACACATTTCTAAAACAACTATCTACTAATCACTTTACCATGCAAAGTTCTAAGTGGTTCACATCAACTACATTGAGCTAGGGCAATGCTGTAAAGAAAGTGCAAGAAAGCTCATGGATTCTCACATTGCATAAGAAAGACATCACTGAAGGAAAGAAATTAAATTCAGTAATCCTATTCATTCCATATTATTTGAGGGAGGGGTGACAGAGTTAAAACTAACGTAAAATATTTTACTATATATTAGAGACATGATGTCCTGTAACTATAGAAACTCTGTATATCAAGAATGAGAACAAGAATATAGAAGGATATTCAATAGCTACTGATTCTGAGTAGTCCAATATATATACACAATCCAAGACTCTGTAATTCATGTAATCAATCTTGTATCTTTAAGATCTTCCCATACTGACTCGTTCCTAAGCAGCTTTGTCTTCATTGTTTCTTATTAGCAAAGTACTGATTCACAGCTCTCAATGGTAAAGCTTTTCATATCTAAAGTTAGCATCAAGTTTGATTTGGGATCCTCTGGTACTCTGAATACATGCTGGCAAGTGGGATTTACTGTAACAATCAGTTTTTATCCAAGCAAAAACAGTTTCACACTACAGATTAAGTTCAAGAGTAGGTAGCTTTTAACAGAATTTAAAATAATTTAACGTGTCCCTACAGAAAGATGGGGGAGGCAAGTGTGACGTGGGGGAATTATCTACATAAACATACATATAAATACATAACCATGTGTATGCACACATACATCACTGGTTTAAGAGCAAACCTGGATTACAATAGACTAATTAACTTGGTTACCCGTACTAGAAGTGACCTGATTAAGTTAAGAGTTCTAATCTTTTGATGGGGGTGGGGGATGCCTATTAAAAAAAAAAAAAAATTAAGAAGTGAGAAAAACTGCTTTACCAAGGACAAAGGCCGTCAATGCTCAGTTTTAGCCTGAAGTAGGAGTACATCATTCCTGAGATTCTTCCATACTAATTAACAAACTCACATGTTTTGAGTTTTAATCCAGAAAAAAGTTGTGAGAAGCAGGATTGGCAGAGCTGACTCATTAAAACAGTCTACAAATAAAATTATCAAGCCAGAAATTAAATTCCATGTAAATCTGAAGTGTAACTAAACCCACTAAGGCATTAATTTACAGTTCTTATGTTATCTATACACACTTAGGGAAAACTGACAGTAACTAGCACTATTATTTCAACAAGCCAACTCATGAGGTGTTACAGCAGTAGGCTCCCTTCCTCTGAAAGAAAATATTACCCAATTTCAGTGTCATATTAAACCAATCTTAATATGGAAACACAATTGTTCTTTAACTTTATATCACAGAATAACGTAAATGGAATCAATTCCCACAGCACAGTAATTCTGCAAGGACTAAACACATCAACTGTTTTGATTTTAGTAACAATTTCATGCTGAGAGAAGACATTTTTATTTAAACAGTTGGAATTTTCTGGGAATAAGTCTCAGAACAGTAGCAGACAATTATGGCAATAACAAAGAAAACAAACCAGACATGGGGGGCCATTTTTTAGCTTACCTGCACTTGTTCTGTGGAACTACTACTGAGCTCATCTCCGGACTCCGAATCTTGGTGAATTTTTTCTGAGCCTTCTCCTGCTGAATCACAAGACTGTTCATGCAAAAAGCTGGTTTTCTCTATTTCCAAGAACTCCGGGCATGGGAAATGACCCATGGAAATGGTTCTAAACTGATTGGAAACCTTGGGAGATTGCAACTCATTGTTAAGTTTTCCATTGTTCTGGGTAAGGTCCAGACTCAAACCAAAAGTTTGACAGGGGCTATTGTTCGGTCCCAGATTTTGATTGGCATCTCGAACTAAGCAAGACACTTGAACTGGAGAAGATTTTCCAAAACTAGAAAGCTCTGGTGACTTATTCACATTTTCTGTTGATCTCTGTAATCCATGTGTCAACTTCAAGGTGTTATTTGGCAGCATGCTTGCCTGCTTCACAGGTGGCATCAGTGCTTTCCGGGGTATTTCCTTCACATACTGTGCTGGCACATAAAAGGGTTTGGAATTTTCATCTCTTTTGACTTGCCACCAATCATCATTAGTCTTTTTCACTAAGATGTATTTTTCCCCTTGCTTGATCACAATTTTCTTGTCCTTGGCCTCATACTCATAGTCATATTCCACTTGAATGTACAATTGTCCTGGAAGCATCTTCCCACCCTTATCAGCCATTTCTATCTGAAAAGATTTCACCTTTTCAGACAAAAGGTATGCGACATTCTGTTTCAGTGTTATTTTCCTGTTAATGTTCAGAGCTGTAAGAAAAAAAAATGAATATGTAATCAAGTGGCTGTTTAAGAGCACTTTGGAGAAAAACATTTTTTTTTAAATCCTGCCTATTCAGTTCATGTCAACCCTAGACTAATTGATGGAAAAATTAAGTATTTTCAATCTTTCTCAGCGTTGAAATAAAAAAAAAAAAAAAACATCAATAAAACAACTTAGGTCACTGATTTAACTGTCCTGTTCACACAAGCCTCCTGCTATCAAGTGGCTCATTAGCTTCATTAATTAATTAGTTATTGTTTCTATTCCTGAATAACACTGATTGACCATTGGAGATCTGGTGGGGGGGCAGATCTGAGTCAATCTCTCGCTTACATATAGGCTTAATTTATTGTGAAACTCTGTTATTACACTAGTTTTAATCAAAATATTCCAAAAAGATTCATTCACCTAACAGAAACCCTGATCTAACCGAATGTTTAAGGGCTAGATCTTAGAATGCAAACAAAAACCTCAACAGTGACAAAACAGGACTATGAACCAAAATAAGTAATTAAATAATTAATAATACATGAAAATTCTGAAAAGTACTTTTCAGCATCTTGATAATCCAGACAACTGCCACTGCACCCACATCCATGAACAAATTCTCTCTATTTAATAATCATGTAGCATCAATGTCCAAATTCATGGGTGGGTAAGCATTAGTCTTGCCAACTTGCACTGAACACAATATAGCAAATTAACATGAAAGGTAGAATTTTTAATCTTGAAAATCAAAGCATGTAAGATCTCCACCATTCACACGGAATGTAGGAGAATGAAGTAAAATGCTGCCATATTTAATCTTAGAGATTAACAAACACATATTTTTATTTTTAAATGCATGTTTCAAGAATGAGAAAAGTTATGTAAAAACTTGCAACTCTGCAAGTTAAGACTTTGTGATGAGGTTTGTAGCCTTTACCCTGTCACAGAGTGGAACTAATGCAATTCCATGCAGGCACACACACGCAAAGTGAACTCAGCTGCTAAATGGGACTAAGGACAGAAATAACAACTGAAAAGAACTTCCGGGGAGATCTAAAGCAGAAACCACTAAGGATTGTTCCATTTTCTTTTGCCATTTCTGTTATTTGATCTGAGCCTTGAAAGAAATACATTTGCCACATAACTCAGAGACTAAGTAAAAAGCTTTGGCAAAAAGAAGGTAAAGAGCTAAAGCATTACACCAAGACAGAAGTGCCCATCTTTAATCTGTGTCTCTCTCCCACAGCCCATCCTCTTTTACTTCCAAGAATCATTTCCTACGGGTAACTAGGAAGCCACCACCGTTTTCAAGGCTCCAAATAGAATCACAAAGTCAGATTAACGATTTTATCATAGACTTGATGGAAGGAATGATGGTACCACCTTCAACAAAGCTGACAATAGGAACACAAAGCAGTAGAAAAAAAATGCCAGGATTCTGGTGTTTACTTTCTACCATAAAATGGTACCTTGACATTCAAAGTCTATTTACAGCCTCAGTACAAAACAACGTGCTTACCAGCTATTCCACACAAATAGGTGTTTTTAAGCGCAGCTCTGCAGTTGTTTAGCAACAGCAGCAGAAAGTAAACATGAACAAATTGCAGCCATTCCCATTCTCTTTCTAGTTTTGGAAGCTCTGCCATGCAAATGCTGGTTTTTTCTTCTTAGCAAACCTGACTCCTTCAAAGCTGCTACCAATCCCTTTCATGGCTTCCAGGTCAGACACCAGAAAAATTCAAGTCTTACCAAGCTGCAGTCTACCTCAAAGCTCTGTTACCTCAAAAAGCTGAACCATAGGACAAGGATCCATCCAGAGTCTTTTTCTCTTACACAGAAACCAAAGAGAGAAAATAAGCCTCTGGTTTCCCACAGGGCTAACAAGTGTTTAAAAGCTTGGATTATTCATTCCTCTTTTGCCAGTTCCATATAACTATTTATTGAGAATGCACGCTTAACATGTTTTCAAGACAGAAAGGTTCAACAGGTAGCATGTTATGTTAAAAAAAATAATAAGTAAAATAAAACAGAACTGCTACAAAAATAGTTTTTAAAAATTTACTTTTGAAGTAAATTTTGCAGCCTAACCCCTTTCCAAAAAAAAAAACAATAAAAAAGAAACAACAAAAATAAGCAGCACAATTTTTGGTCTTTCATCCAAGCTGCAAAATTATCAAGTAAATAGCAAACATTTGGTAATGTTGAACATACGATTAAAGAGAGACAGGCTGTGTTCAGCCAGAACACCAAAACAGTTTTAACAAACAGATCACATCATCAGGACTGAGCAAGGCTCCAATTCTTCTCTTCAACCCCAAAAAAGCAAGAAATATGTATGGTATAAATGAGAAATTAACCCTGTAGATCAGCAAACAATTACCATGGCCTTGATTTCACAGATTCAAACGCATTAATTTTCGTTTTGGTTTTTTAAATGTAGCTCTTGTGTAACAAAAGGCAGACTGCCTGTACTCTCTGTGCAGCCCAGGGGACATAACTGGAATGCCCTTTCATGAAGCTGTCTCATAGAACAGTTTAAAGACCATGGGTGCCTAGATCCAACCTCTGCTCTAAGGGGCTCACAAAAATGCAGGTGTGAATGCACAGTACTGGCATTTGGACTACTGACTTCATTGTTCTACTGATCAGTCCTTGTAACCTCGCAGTATTTTTTATTCCTTACCATTTACCTGTCATGCTGGATGGCACCCCATTGGTAAAGAAGGCTGAATTAGTCTAATTAGAGGATGATAAGTACGAAAAATCATTTACTTCCACGGAGAACATCTGTAAGCTTTCATACCATCAATAAATAACGCCTTAAATAAAGTCTCAATATCTGATTGAGAGACTAACAAAAAATGGCCTCATTAAGAAAACCTGTTCATGAACACGAAAAAACAGACTCGCTTTTCTCCTGGTGAAGAAAACTCCAATGGCTACTGGCAAGCGATGTAAGGTGGGTCCCATCCCCGCGTGGGCACACAAACCATTTCACGGAGCATTCCCGCTGTCCCGCGGGAGCGGAGCCTGGCGAAGGCAGGCACGGGTACGAGAGAGGCGAACAGGGCTCTCACTCGGCACCGGGGCAGAGAGATCCCTTCGGCTGCCCATGGAACCGTTCCCATCTCTTACTCAGCTAAGGCTGAGTAAGGCTGGCAACCCCGGGTGTTCGCAGAGGTCAGCTCCTCCCTTCTCCCCCCGCTCCGCCCGCGGGCGCGCCCCTGCCCGGGCCGGCCCTGCCCTGCTCCCGGCACCGGACCGGCATCGGACCTGCCCTGCTCCCGGCACCGGACCGGCATCGGACCTGCCCGATCGGCTCCTCCCGGGACCGGGCCAGCACTGCCCGCTCGCACTCAGGGCTCCGGAGAGCTCTCCCCACAAGCGGGTGCACACGCAGCACCAGAGGGTCCAACCATGCCAACACCTGCCTCTAGCTGTATTTTTATGTGCGTCCCCACAAACCGAGACCGATTTTATCCAAAGCCGATGTGACAGCTCTGATCGCTCTCAGACAGGCAGGGCTCTGAGAGCTGTAGGTCGGCTCAGAGCTGAGCCTTTCCTGGAGCAACCTAAACCCTGCAGCTGCATCCTCACCTCCTGACAGCATCCAGTCTTAACTACAGAATGATGCCCTCTCGACTGAAGTCCATGCAAATGCTTGAAAGAAGCATGGTCCTAAGACACAGAATCATACATATGATCATATATGATACACATACAGTATGCTCATAGGATGAGATATGATCACCCCTACCTTCAGCATTATCCCAAAATTCAAGACTCCTCCCCACCCTCTCTTTTGAAATTATCAGGCACAGAGCATTTACTTCTCATCTTCCAGAACCGTGGAATCTTCAGGTAACTGAGTCTTGGGAAATAACCTGAAATACTTTTTGCTATTCCTTTTATTTTCCTCTAGGGAAAAAAAAAAACAAAACAAACAACCTTTACTAGGGATAGGGAATTCTTACTTTCTAATGCAAACGGATGATAAGTTGTTAAAAATGCCACTGAGTGTTAACGGATCTCCTGAAATTTCTTTGTGTGACCTTGTTCGCAGTGTCCTACAAAGCAGCAGCAGTTGACTTGTGTAATCTTTTTCCATTTTCAGCGTCAAACTTCACCCACTACTGAAATGAACCCTTCCGCAGTTCTGATACAGAAATAAACTCAATTATGAAGGCTAAATTAAGATAAATTCTTAACAGTTCAGGCCAGATGAGATACCCTGGCTGCACCTCAATAGATTCCATAATTCTGCTTCTCCCTGGGCAGTTTTCCTAGGGGTTCAGACTGTATCTGCACAACCACTGCCCGTGAGACTGGTCCCTTGTCAGACTTCAACCCTATTCATTCCTTTCTTCCCAAGGGGCACCACTGCTTGTCCAGCACACCTGACTCCTCAGCCAGTATTTTCAGCACACTAGTCCTCAGCGATGCCTGTAGGAGCCACCCTCTGCAAAGCGTGCATTTAGAGCATGCAAAAGTTGCATACAAATAGAGGCAAAAGGCCACAACATATATAACCAAAACACAGGCAACTTACAAGTCCTATAAAGACAAGCTTAGCCCTTCACTCTTTCCTCAGACACAGTCAGAAATCGAGCACTACTTGCAAGCAAACTACCTACCCGGAGCTCGCACGTCTTTAAACGCTAGAGGCATAATAAGCGACCATTTAATAATTGCCCGTGACTCAGAGCACTGAATAAGCGATGCATTTTAAACAAGTGTCAAGACAACTTTTCAGCGCCGCTGCAGTCCCCCCGCCCCCCGCAGCTCCCTCCCAGCCCCGCTCGCTCCTCGGTGCGGGCTTTTGTTAAGTTGTTGACTGTGAGCACCGGCTATAAATAGCGCGGCACGGCCGCCCCGACCCGCCCGGCCCAGCCAGCCCAAGGTGCCGCGCTCAAGTTCACACAAGGGCGGCAGATCAGATCCCCCGGCCCGGCGGGGGCGCCCGGGAAGGGCGGCGGGGCCGCCGCTGCCTCCCTTTGTCTCCCTCCCGCAGGTGAGCGGGCGCCGCTCGCACACGGCAGCGCGGGCGGCCCGGCCCGGCCCCGCCACCCCGGCAGCGCGGCCCGCGGGGGAGCGCCCAGGTGCGGAGCTGCCTCCCGGCGCCGCCAACTCGGCGCTGCCGGCGCCGCCCGCGGAACGGAGCCGGAGCCGCCGCCGGGGGCAGCGCGGGGCGGCGCCGCCCGGACCCCCGGCGGGCTCGGGGCCGCTCCGCGAGGCGCTCCAGGACAGGGAGGGAAGGCGGGAGGGCGGTGCCGGGGGGCTGCGGCCCCGTGTGCCGGCCCGAGCTCGGACGTGCCCCCGCGGGACCACCCAGCCCTGCCCGACCGTCCCGGCGGCGGCAACACC